GCGCAGTAAGGGGTGCAAATGGTAGAACGTCCCTTACGAAGCCATATAGCCGGTGGAGGACCAGTTGTGTGTCCTCTAAATACCACACCTAAACGCCTATTTACTAGACTTCCATTACTTGCAAACTGCCACTGGTAAGAGCAATGGACGATAGTGTGGAAGGTTTCATGTCCCTTAGGCTGGTTTGCGGAAAGGGATAACAATGGCGGATTTACCACAGCTGTGTAAGAACCTCCTTGTGACCAAATAAGATTGAAAGGCGTAATAGGACTGCGAAGGGCTACTGATGTAAATGTTGTAGCATACGAATATGAATGTCGTCGGGCCCAGCTGCCGATGATCCGACAAGCCCTTTTGAGAGTGTTGCCGTCATTTCTTGAAGTGTAAAAGTCACATATACTGTTCTTCTCAGTAGAAAGAAAAGTCCAAGGGTGCTAACTCTCTGGCAGACTTTTGAGGGAAAGAAAATGAAGGGGCATAGAATGGAGTCCCTGAGAATACTGACCAATGATTGCCAATTTCATTGGCAACATCTAGTTGGTTTGCTATATCAACACGGCAACCCGCAGAACAGGAGCCGGGTCATGGAGAAAATTTAACCACTCAGTTTTCGTACTTTTTTCCAGACTGCACTCATAGAGGATGCAGAGGTTGATGGTGGAGACTAATCTCGGCCAGCAAGTTGCGTTAGCGTCACGGATGACACGGCGAGCGATCGCACGCTTCTGTTCAATAAAATCAAGGAGGTCGCTTTTGTGGTTCTAATTGTTAACCGGTACCTGCCCCATGCAGCGTGATTCAAACGTACTTGCACGAGCACAAAGCAGAGACCACCAAGGCACGAATTCTGAGAATGCCTCTCGAAGTTTTGGTATTAAGAATGAGAATGCTGCGGTGAAAACGAGATGAGAAGAGGTGGTAAAAGCTCATCGATGGAGTGACTAAGAAGGAACCTCTTTAAAAACAGTCAAGTGGTGAGTAAAGGTTCCAATGTGCCCGATTAAATGCCAGCGTGGGGTGCTAAGAGGAGGCGAATATGAAGGGGAATAAGAATGATTGGGAAAGATCACTGTCCATGTAAGTCCCTGGAGAACAGACCAAGTAAAGCTAATGCGGCGGAGGAAGATCAAACAGAGGAGATCGAATCAAAGAGAGAGTAATTGAGTCCGAGGACCAAAATGGGTGTGGTACCTGTATATAAAACATGGAGGGGTGTGTGGTGGCAAAGAAAAAGCCTCTAACTGAATTCCACGGGAATTCACAGTGCGAACCCTCCCAGAGGAAATGGTGGGCATTAAAATCACCAAGTAACAGCATTGGTGGCGGTAATGACGAAACAAAGGAAGGCAAAATCCGGATTCGATAATGCCCAAAAGAAGGAGATAGATATAAGTAACGAGCGTATAACCACCCTCTGGTAAGTGTGATAACGGCTGTCAGTGTAATGCAGCTAAGTAAGAACAAATACTGATCTTGATGTACGAACTATCATTGGCGGAGAAGAAGGGCAACTTTCGATTAAAGGTCCCAACATGAAAAGGATCTGAAGAAAACAATAAATTATACCTGAGTAATGATAAATAACATCAGATGTGAAATTTTGGTTCCTGTAAGCCAAACGCGGCCAACAGGGGCAAACTGGATGAGTAACTCTGAAGCCACGCCCGAATAACCCCTGAGGCCACGTATATCCACTGTAAAAAGGGCCATGAATGGCCAATATAAAGATACTTGAAATCCTCAGGAAAGGGTTCCTACGGACCTAGGATGGGGGTTAGAAAAGTCCAGCATGCGGAGGCAGATAAAATGTTCAAGTGCAGCGAAGGAACGTGTGCGCTGTGAAGAAAGGATTTGCGCAGATGGGAGCAGAGAGAGAGAAAGAGCGGAAGGTGTGGATCAGTGTCCATTGAATGGTTTGGGTCTCCTTCAATATATTCAGAGATTGCTTCCAAGTGGTTTCATGAATTCAGAGATGTCGTAGGGAGACAATATTGGGAAATGGTAGGGGGAGTGATGAGTAAAAGATTGGAACTGTAATGGACTTTAAAACCAAGGTATGGGGCGAAAGGGTGGAGGGAAACTGGAGAAGCGTGCAGGGGACAGAAAGAGACAGGAACCGGGTAGTGGTCAGAAGAGGAAGAAACTTGGGAGGGAACAGGGGAGGAAGGTACATAACGAGGAGGAGTGGTGAACCTCTGCACTTGTAACTGAGAGCAGTGAGAGGGAAGAACTAGGGACAGAGACAGGGAGGGTAAAATGAGGAGGTGGAATATGGTAGAAGGTGTTACCGACCTTTTTAGACTTTTGAGAAGTAGAGGGACGATTGGAAGAGTGTCGCACGAGGTCTCGTCGATACTGAGGTCTTGTAAGAGAGAACTCGAAGAAGCGGATTAGACTGATGCGTTTGAAGTAGGGGACGTCCTGAGCCTAAGGACGCAAAAGGATTAGATACAGGAGTGATTATGGGATAGAACCACAGAGGGGGTGTAAGAAGATGGATACCAGAAGTGGGGGGACGTTTTGAAAACACGGGAATAAGAAACACCTGGAGTCCTCCCCTTGGAGGACCGTAGATGAGAAACTGCCATTGCAAATAAGGGAGACCTTTCGTCTCTTTGATGTAACGGATTTCCCGCTCAGTATAAATAAGACCTTACAACGGCGAGAGTACGAAGGGTGAGCCTCATGACAGTTAGAGGCAAAGGAGTATCGATTGCAAACGTATTAGAATGGTCATCGGCACCACAGACTGAGGGCAATCGGCGATAGAATCTGCAATATTTCGCTGGATGGCCAAATCGCCAAGCAATATCTACACCGTTGTGGTGTAGGGATCACCTTTTCAACTTGTAACCGATGTCCTGACATATAAACTGAGGATGGGAGTACTCGTCCTGTCAAAAGTAAAAAACGAGCCACATTGCTAGGTATCGTCTCCCGCACCACGGGCAGAAGAACGTACGTGTCTACCCTTAGGATTTTAGATACTTGGAGTTTCCAGCTGTTCTAGAATGTCGGTCCACATGTCCTGGAAATTTTGTTGTACTATGGTATGGGGCAGAAAAAACGGTACCACTACAAGAATTGAGGGAATGATGGTATTTTCAAAAAGGTGACAGGAACAGTATCTATATGGGAAAAGAACGAAGAGCTCACGAAGCCTGGGTAGCATTCTTTACGGTAATGATGCGCGTACCGCTTCTTTAAGAGCATGAAAAGAAATATCTTTTACCAACATGGCGTAGGATTGCCTTGCCCAATACTATGGTCAGAAATGATAGTGCATTAGAGAAGTTGGGTCGTAAGTGGAAGAATTTATCCAACTGTTCAGTCTGAAACGAGCGTGGAAAGGTAGTGAAGGACGTGTCGATCTTTTCTGAGAAGAACGAGGAAAAAGGGGGGGGGTGAAGGTGGAGAAGTATCATCAAGCAGGTAAATGTCGTTGACGTTTAGCGTGGGACCAATAGTTGGTCCAGACGTGGAACGGGTCGCGATTTGAGAAATTGCCCGCACCGTAGAGGGAGAGGAGCCGGAAGCATAGTCAGAGGAGAGGCGAAGGTCCTGATAAATGAAGGAGTCAGTCGAGGCCTCAAGAACCTTAAGCAGGTTGAGGAAACAGCACACGGCAATAGGTACAGAGGCATGAGGAATGTCTGAAGAGTGTCCGCAAAGACGAGGCGGGGTGCAGACGTGGTGCGTTCAAGAAGGGGCCCCGGGGTACTCAGGTTCATGACTAGGGCTGCCATGGTTAGGTTTACTTTCTTTCATTTTGTTTTTAAGAAAAAAAAAAGAAATAAGAAAGAAAATAAAAATAAAAAAAAAGAAAAAAAAGGGGGGACCGGGGAGGGATAGTTCCCTAGAGGAATGAAAGGGCCAGAAATCTCCCTCCGCGCCCAAGAGACTCGACACCGCTAGTAGCGCAGATGCAGCATGGAACCCGTGCCATACCCTACCCTTCATGCCAGTAAAACCAGCAATCTGGGATAGCAACCCTCACATCTGCCGGCTACCTCAGTGACAAAAGAGAGGGCGGCCCGATATCCGCCACAACGCATTACCCTCCTTCAGCCACCACCCCCGGAATCCGAACGGTGCTTCCAGAGATATCACCCGTCCCCAAAGACTACCCAAAGCTACTCCCTGGATAACCGGAGAGGGATCGTCATCCCTATAGGCAATCCAGATATCCAACGGCAAACTACGCCACCGCACAAGAAACCTCAACGGAATGTTATCGACCCCGGTGTCCTTGTCCTCTACCTAGGAACTAGCGTGCCAGTGGGAGAAATCCCAAAGGAAAAAAAGGAAGGTAAAAAGGTAGGAGTGGGGAGGAGGAGGAGGAATGAAAAAGGGGAGGTATGGGGAGGATGGATAGGGGAGGATATTGGGGGTAATTAGGTTCGGTCTGATGAAGATGACCGAAAGTCTAATCCTCAGACCCAAGAGCCTCTTCAACCACGCCAAGGAGCCCCCCTTGAAGAGGTATACAATGTAAAAGGAGAAACTTCGTTTTCCTTTTGGGCACCCTGCCTTTGGTGTATATTTGCCGTGATGTGTTTGAAAGAAAGAAAGAAAGACTTTTTATATTTTATAATAAGGAAAAATCATATTTGCCAGAAATGAAGATAGTGTACACATACTAATTTGAAATAATGTAATGAAAAAAACATCTCCTCAGGAAGAGAACACTTGCTTATTGAAGTATTGAGAGTGACCAATCAGACGGCAGCCAATGAAATGGACCAGTTACGTCAACAGCTTGACTCAAACGCTCTGGTCAAAGAACGATCTATCAAACAGCAGGGTGAATGAATTGTGAGTCCTAATTTGAGTGATGTGTTATTTTTAACATGATTTGTCTTACCTTTGTGTTGGTGCTGTTTTGTACGTGTGTAACTGTAGCACCTTGGTTCTGCATCGCTTGCACTATGCACTGACTAAATATGAACTGTTTGCATGGTAGGAAAGAATAAGTGACAAAATTCGAACGGTGGAGAAGGATGCAGGAGTGGAGAGATCAAGCTATGATTGCTCGGTTGCCGTACTTTGTTATGGGGGCTCTGAGTCCAAACTTACAGGTGCGAAAAAATGTCAACACATTCCCACAAGCAGAAGAAACATAGAAATTGATTTTGACTTAGATTTGGCGTGTGGTAATGTTTATTCTTTTCTGCATAATGTCTATATAATCAACAATGTTGTCCTTATTTCATTGTTACTATGTAATTTCTCTCCCTGCTTGCACGTCAACAGTGTAATTCAATGTACTGTCTTTAGCTACTTGGGTTTGTTCCACTAACATAATCCCATGATCTTAAGAATGCAGCTACAGATCAGTACATCTTTTTTTACAATGCCACTTTCTTCATTTATGAGTGATAAACATTTACTACTCCTTTAAAGAATAAAAAGGCACCATACTGTGCCTGGAACAATACATAAATAACCTACAACATAAAAACAAATGAAACTTAAGATGAATGACATTTTGGTCCACCTGTGACCATTAACTATAGACCAAATCATAAGTGTTTTTTATTCTATGTGCACGTTATTGCGTATTTTCTTAGTCCTCATAGATTTATAGTCTGCAAATTTTCAAGGTATAATATTCATGTTGTGTGCAGGTGGTTTTGTAGCTTCCATTGAATTTATCAGGTTTTTCTTTGATAACTGCACCATAAGGAAGATTAGTTGGTTTGTTATATTTATAAGTCTATCATCTTCATGATGGTAATTAAAGCTGTAGGTATCCTTTACACTTCCAGTCAAGAATACCTTAAATCAAATGGGGAAGTGAAGTAAACTGTCATTGTATCTACACTAATATTGAGATAACTTTGGTGTACATCATAATACATAAGAATGATGGGGGTGGGGAATGGTTAGGGAGATGAACACCTTTTTGGTGTAACATCACAGATATTGCACACTTTTTCCATGTATATTCACAAATGATAGGTCAATGCATTACGATTTATGTATGCTGAGTAAACATGTTTTAGTATATACACTGTAGCCTGATTCGATAATAAAGGGAACTTGATGCAGGGACTTTCATCGCTGCCCAATCCCACATCTTCATTTAAATTTATTGTGTCTGATGCAGAAGATCAGCTGTCTTCAATTCATTTTTTTTTTAATGTTTCTTGCAACCATTGACACTGGACTATCTTTTGTGTATTCCAATTGGTGTAAAGGGGGAAAGGAAATTGAAATGTCGTCAAAAATACAGTAATATACCATAACTTCTTGGTTACTATTAAATGCTTGTTATTTCTGTTGAACCTAGGTAGTAGTTGGTAGACAGCAACCACTCCTGGAGGTACTAACCTTCCTGCCAAGTGAGTGAAAAAAAATCTGTAACTGTTTTACATGATTGGTAGAATTGCTGGTGTCCATTTTTCTGTCTTATAAACATGCAAGGTTTCAGGTACACTATGCTACTTCTACTTACACTTAGTCACACACTACACATAAATGTACCAAGCAATATTATACCACCACCTCTGGTTTCCTCCTTCTAATTCTTACTAGTTTCTTGTTCTTGTTATTTCCTCTTATCTTCCAGGGGAAGTGGAACAGAAATCTTCACCTCGGCGTAAGCCAGCGTTGTTGAAATAGGCAACTAAAATGCCAAGACCAAGGGTGCTAGTAACCCCTTCTCCTGTATATGTTTCTAAAAATTTGAAAAGATAAACTTTTCATTTTTCCTTTTGGCAACCCTGGCCTTGGTGGGAGTCGCCAGTTTGTTGAAAAAAAAAAAATCCTGTTGACTAACCCTAATTATGTCGTTTTAATTTTGACAGGGAGAGTGAGGTTTATCTATACGGAACATAGCAACAATCAAAATCTAATAAAGATGCATCGGACTTAAAGACATCAATCAGTAATCTAAACTAGAACAACTGGGGTAGAGAAAACTCTTCGAGAACAAAGTTATTAAGAAACTAGTAAAACAACCATTTTCTTCCTTTTAATTTGTTTTTTAATTCGGGAAAGATTCGCTTTTGACACGCAAAATCACAATATAACATGATTGCAACCAATCACGAAACATGTGGCTTTGAACCCTATGGCCAGCGAGTCGTAAAACTCCAGGCACTGGCCTGGGTTCAAATCCTCACCTGTTCAAATGGTTTATTCATAATCTAAATATGGCTAAAAAAAAGTATTATCTTTTCACATCCTTGTATATTATTGCTTCCATAAGCCTGTATAATCTATTCTGAAGTATATATAGCACTTACATTTCCAATTAATGTATTGCAGCTTAAATGAGAGTTTGGCAACTCAGTGGTGGAACTGGAAGGTCGAAAACGATCTTTAGACCTCATTGTACTGCAGTTTACTGACTGAACTACAGAGGAAAAACATCGTTCCACAGCTTTATCTGATGAGACAAGTAGTTTGGCATAAAAATGTTGTAATTATATACAAAATTCTATATAACTGTTTTTTTTTTGTTTCAACAAGGTCCTGCCGTCTCCGACACCGAGGCATGTTGACCCAAAGAGAAAGAAAATCCCCAAAAAGAAAAAACTTTTCATCATCATCGCAACACTTCACCTCACTCACACATATCACTGTTTTTGCAGAGGTGCCCCAGAATACAACAGTTTAGAGTAAATACGTATTAAAAACACACAACAATATTCTCTCCTCAAACTGCCAGTATCCCAAACCCCACCTTTAGAGTGGCAGGCATTGTACTTCCCATTTCCAGGACTCAAGTCCGGTTATATAAAAATAACCGTTTCCCTGAATCCCTTCACTAAATATTACCCTGATCAGCACTCTCCAACAAGATCGTCAGGTCACTCAGATACCATTTGGTCCTCCATTCACTCCCTATCTAACACGCTCTACGCACGCTTGCCTGTGAAGTCCAAACCCCTCCGCCCACAAACAACACCCCTTCCCCCCCCCCCCCTTTATTACCCCCTCCATCAACCTTTTCGAGGACGACCCCTACCCCGCCTTCCTTCCCTACAGATTTATAACGCTCACCATGTCCATTCTACTTTGATCCATTCTCTCTAAAGGCCAAACCACCTCAACAAACCCTCTTCAGCCCCTCTTACTAAAGCTTTTATTACTCCACAACCTTTTGCCCTAATTTCCCACTCTCCAAATTTTCTGCATAATACTTACACCACACATTGCTCCTTAGACAGGACATCCCTCCACTGCCTCCAACCGGCTCCTCGCTGCAGCATTTAACAACCCAAGCTTCCATCACACCCATAAAAGATGTGGTTGGTACTACTATACATTCATACATTTCCCTACTTTGCCTCCATAGAAAAATTTTTTGCCTCCACATATACCTCAGCACCACTACCTTTTTTCCATCAACATTCTATGATTAACATCATCTTCAAAAATCCATCCGCTGACTACGTCACTCCCAAATATCTGGAAACTTCACTTTTTCCATACCTCCTCCTCCCCAATTGATAGCCAATTTTTCTTTATCTTAAATCATTTGATAACTCTCATCGCCTTACTCTTTTCTAAGTTCACTTTCAACTTTCTAACCTTTTACACACATTCCACATTCGTCCACTAACCTTTGCAATTTTTCTTTAGAATCTCCATAAGCACAGTAATTCATCAAGCAAAAAGTAACTGTCACTTCCCCATTTTGTTATTTAATTCCCCAAATTTAATCCCATCCCACCCCTCCTCCCGAACACACCTAGCATTTACTTCTTTTACCACCCCATCTATAAATATAATTAAACAACCATGGTGACATTACGGCAACCCTAGTCAAGACCCTACTTTTATACTGGTAATAGTCTCCTCTCTTCTTCACAAGCCCGTAATTATTATTTTTAATGTACATTAATAAGTCAATACTGTCTCGATTCTGAGAATTATATCGACAATGAATTGCAATGAATAATACAGAATCAAGCTGTTGTTTGCTGACATCATAGATGCCACTGTACTCGATGTCATCTTTGACTGGGAACATTGGATTACCATCTGTTACAGAAAGAAACTAAATAAAAGTGAAAGCATAAATAAAGATGGGAAACTTGATGAAAAACACTTTTACTGAGTTGGATGGAAATATTGTACTGCCAACAATAGTTAAAAAAAGGGCACACAGGTGCAGAACAAGCTTTTATTGTGACACTGTTGCACTCTTTGTAGAGCTTTATCAAGCTATGACTTGATAAAGCACTACACAGAGCAAAATGTTCTTGAAGCGTCCCCCGTAATGTGTCTTTTCTTCACAAGATTGATGGACCCAGTGACCTGATACAAAATATACTGAAATAATACTAGATTCCTGTAATTCTTTTTTTCTTATTTATGACATGAGAATTTTGTAAGATTCAAAGTTAGTTTGCTTAAAATGGTTTACAAAATAAGTGGTTCTCTTTTGAGCATATAAGATCATGGATAACTAAAGTGTAATAAACACTTGTTAATGCTCAAAAATAGCCCACATGCAGACAAACTCAGAAGATTAATTAATCTGTATATTTCTGGCAAGACAATGATGGAATAAGTGATGGTGAAAGTGTTTCTTCTTTTTTGGGTTATCCTGCCTCAGTGGGAGACAACTTTTTTGTTTGGGGGAAAAAAAAAAGTTTGTGAATTTTGTAAATTGTCAGAAGCAGTTTAAATACCTTGGGAACATTCTTCATGTGGCAACGTGCTAAAGAAAAATGAGTTAGCATGAAGAACTAGGCATTAGAGTAAAATACAGTAAAATTTATTTATTTATTTTTTCATAGGTCAAAGATCTTCAAGAACGAGTATGGAGTCAGACTCGTAAGCAGAGAAACAATAGCAGCGATAGCATTAGGAGTGGTGACAGCATGAAGAGCAGCAGTGGTCATCGCAGCACAGGAGACTCGGCATGGGGAAAACATGCTAGCCCAGAGTTTAGCAGTTATTTGAGCTTGCTTCCCTCAGCAGCAAGCAATGATAAAGTTGATCAGCAGGTGCAGGTCAGTTGGGTATCAGCTATACAGGGGACAGTACCTTCATTTATTTGGGATCTTAATAACAATTTACTAGAAATCCATTTAAATGGACCTTTGGCTTACAACCAGTATCCACAGGTCCGGTATCCACAGTTTCAGTTATCTACCATCTTGCTTCAGTGGGATACAGCCAATGTGTTGAAAGAATAATAATAATAATAATACAGTAATGATAACTATAATGAGCAAAGCTAATATATGCAATTCTCTTTTGATATTTGTATAAGAACAGATTTTTTTCACTTTTATTCATTTTAAAAAGTAATCTGCTTTTAATAGTGCATGATGAAAGAAGTGGGAGATGGCCAAGCCAGAGAGGAACATCTTCACACACTGCTGCGGGAGAAAGACGCAGCACTTCACAGCCTACAGTATTCACTCTCTACCCAGATCACAGCAAAAAACCATGGTAAAAAGTAAAAACTTGAAATTAGCTCTATTGTATATCAAATTTAGTAAAAATTTACATTTGATTTTCCAGTATCCCATCCTTCAAGAAATGTACCTTGGAACCAGGAATTTTTTTTTTTTTTTTTTCAACAAGTCGGTCGTCTCCCACCGAGGCAGGGTGACCCAAAAAAAGAAAGAAAATCCCCAAAAAGAAAATACTTTCATCATCATTCAACACTTTCACCACACTCACACATTATCACTGCTTTTGCAGAGGTGCTCAGAATACAACAACTTAGAAGCATATATGTATAAAGATACACAACATATCCCTCCAAACTGCCAATATCCCAAACCCCTCCTTTAAAGTGCAGGCATTGTACTTCCCATTTCCAGGACTCAAGTCCGACTATATGAAAATAACCGGTTTCCCTGAATCCCTTCACTAAATATTACCCTGCTCACACTCCAACAGATCGTCAGGTCCCAAGTATCATTCGTCTCCATTCACTCCTATCTAACACGCTCATGCACGCTTGCTGGAAGTCCAAGCCCCTCGCCCACAAAACCTCCTTTACCCCCTCTTTCCAACCCTTTCGAGGACGACCCCTACCCCTCTTTCCTTCCCCTATAGATTTATATGCTTTCCATGTCATTCTACTTTGATCCATTCTCTCTAAATGACCAAACCACCTCAACAACCCCTCTTCTGCCCTCTGACTAATGCTTTTATTAACTCCACACCTTCTCCTAATTTCCACACTCCGAATTTTCTGCATAATATTTACACCACACATTGCCCTTAGACAGACATCTCCACTGCCTCCAACCGTCTCCCTTGCTGCTGCATTTACCACCCAAGCTTCACATCCATATAAGAGTGTTGGTACTACTATACTTTCATACATTCCCTTCTTTGCCTCCATAGATAACGTTTTTTGACTCCATATATACCTCAACGCACCACTCACCTTTTTTCCCTCATCAATTCTATGATTAACCTCATCCTTCATAAATCCATCCGCCGACACTTCAACTCCCAAGTATCTGAAAACATTCACTTCTTCCATACTCCTCCTCCCCAGTTTGATATCCAGTTTTTCTTTATCTAAATCATTTGATACCCTCATCACCTTACTCTTTTCTATTTTCACTTTCAACTTTCTACCTTTACACACATTCTCAAACTCATCCACTAACCTTTGCAATTTTTCTTTAGAATCTCCCATAAGCACAGTATCATCAGCAAAAAGTAACTGTGTCAATTCCCATTTTGAATTTGATTCCCCATAATTTAATCCCACCCCTCTCCCAAACACCCTAGCATTTACTTCTTTTACAACCCCTTCTATAAATATATTAAACAACCATGGTGACATTACACATCCCTGTCTAAGACCTACTTTTACCGGGAAGTATTCTCCCTCTCTTCTACATACCCTAACCTGGGCCTCACTATCCTCATAAAAGCTCTTTACAGCATTTAGTAACTTACCACCTATTCCATATACTTGCAACATCTGCCACATTGCTCCTCTATCCACTCTATCACATGCCTTTTCTAAATCCATAAATGCAATAAAAACTTCCCTACCTTTATCTAAATACTGTTCACATATATGCTTCAATGTAAACACTTGATCTACACATCCCCTACCCACTCTGAAGCCTCCTTGCTCATCCGCAATTCTACATTCTCTCTTACCTCTAATTCTTTCAATTATAACCCTACCGTATACTTTTCCTGGTATACTCAGTAAACTTATTCCTCTATAATTTTTACAATCTCTTTTGTCCCCTTTCCCTTTATATAAAGGGACTATACATGCTCTCTGCCAATTCTAGGTACCTTCCCCTCTTTTATACATTTATTAAAAAAAAAGTACCAACCACTCCAACACTATATCCCCCCCTGCTTTTAACATTTCTGTCATGATCCCATCATTCCAGCTGCTTTACCCCCTTTCATTCTACGTAATGCCTCACGTACCTCCCCCACACTTACATTCTGCTCTTCTTCACTCCTAAAAGATGGTATACCTCCCTGACCAGTGCATGAAATTACCGCCTCCCTTTCTTCCTCAACATTTAAAAGTTCCTCAAATATTCTCGCCATCTCCCTAATACCTCCCTCTCCCCATCTACCTAACTCCCCCACTCTGTTTTTTTAACTGACAACCCATACTTTCCCTAGGCTTTCTTAACTTTTTAACTCACTCCAAAATTTTTCTTATTTTCATTAAAATTTCTTGACAGTGCCTCTCCCACTCTTTCATCTGCTCTCCTTTTTGCACTCTCTCACCACTCTCTTCACCATTTTTTTACTCTCCATATACTCTGCTCTTCTTATAACACTTCTGCTTTGTAAAAACCTCTCATAAGCTACCTTTTTCTCTTTTATCACACCCTTTACTTCATCATTCCCCCCAATCCCCTCTCTTTCCTCCTGCCCCACCCTCTTATGACCACAAACTTCTGCCCCACATTCTAATACTTTCATTTTTAAAACTATTCCAAACCCTCTTCAACCCCCCCACTACTCATCTTTGCACTACCCACCTTTCTGCCAATAGTCGCTTATATCTCGCTCGAACTTCCTCCTCCCTTATTTTAAACACTTCACCTCCCTCTTACTTGTTTTTTGCCACCTTCCTCTTTTCCCACTACCTCTTACTCTAACTGTACTAAAAAACTAAATAATGATCCGATATATCAGTTGCCCATCAAATAAACATGTACATCCTGGAGCCTACCCATCAACCTTTTATCCACCAATACTTAATCTAACAAACTACTTTCATTACTTGCTAAAATCATACCTTGTATATTTATTTATCCTCTTTTTCATAAAATATGTATTACTTATTACCAAATTTCTTTTACACATAGCTCAATTAAAGGCTCCCCATTTACATTTACCCCCTGCACCCCAAATTTACCTACTACTACTCCCTCCAAAAACATTTTTCCCCCACTTAGCATTGAAATCCCCAACCACCATTACTCTAAACACTTGATTCAAAACTCCCCACACATTCACTCAACATTCCCAGAATCTCTCTCTCCCTCTACACTTCTCTCTTCTCCGGGTGCATACAACGCTTACTATAACCCACTTTTCACATCCAATCTTTATTTTACCCCAAACATAATCCTTGAATTTATACATTTGTATATATATTAATTATTTTTTACAGAGCTTGAGGAGCTTACTGGTAAAGTAACATTTTTAAAAGGATCAGCTGGGATCACAACTCTCTGGTCTGGAAGTGAGTGCAGCTATTGGCAACATAACAACAGAAGTTGGGCCCCCTGCTGCAGGACCGCACGAGCCATCTTGACTCTCTGGACGATTCCTCACATTGGGTTCAGAGGAAATGTCATCATTAGCTTTGGTTATCATAGTGAGAATTTGTTATTCATATGGTTTTTATGCATAAACAATATTGATTACTTGTAATATAGTATTATTAATTTTACCTGTAATATAGAGCATTATTAATTTTCCAATTACTGTAATATCATGGCATACTGGAGGCCCTAAAAATTGTAACCAGAGATTTGAAATGACATATTTCAGCTTTTCTGGACCTTGTGTTAAAAATTCAGCTTAACCTGGTTTTCGAGGAACTTTCAGAGAAGGTGTCCAGATGCTAGGGAGGGTCTCTTGATGTAGGAAACTGGAACTGCAGCACTTTCCCATACCCTGGATTATATCTCATTACCTCCCATTTCCCAATGCGTATGACTAGAGATTTCCTTTGAATATAATATGAAATAACTTCAGGACAGCAGTAGTGGAATGATGGTGAAAATGTTTCTTTTTCAGGGGATCCTGCCTCGGTGGGGGAGACCAATGTTAAAAAATTTAATGCACATGACCTTGCAATGATAAAAACTCAGAATTAGGTATAAAGAATACCAACAAAGTAGGGAAGTGATTTTAGGTTTTTTATCAACTACCCCGAAGAGCGAGAGTAAACATGAGAATACATCCTGAGTACTGCTTTTGGGAAAATGATCAGTTCTACTTGGCACTGTCCTGAGACACACTTCTCTCTCACTCTCTCTCTCTCATCCTCATCATCATCATCATCATCATCATCGATATTAAGGATGGGTGAGAATGTTGTTGTAGGTAGTAAGTTGTTAGACAGCAACCACCCAGGGAAGTACTACCGTCCTACCAAGTGAGTAAAACGTAAGCCTGTAATTGTTTTACATGATGATAGGATTGCTTTTGTCTTTTTTCTGTCTCGTAAACATGAAAGTTTTCAGGTATGTCTTCCTACTCTTTCTTACACTTAGGTTACACTTCACTTGCATGTACAAGCATAAATATACACACCCCTCTGGATTTTCTTTTATTTTCTTACTAGCTCTTGTTCTTGTTTATTTCCTATCTCCATGGGGAAGTGGAACAGAATTCTTCCTCCGTAAGCCATGCGTGTGGAAAGAGGCGACTAACATGCTGGGAGCAGGGGCTAGTAACCCGTTCTCCTGTATACATTACTAAAGTTAAAAAACAGAGACTTTCATTTTTGGGGGGGCCACACTGCCTCGGTGGGATACAGCCGGTTTGTTGAAAGAAGAAGAGAATGTTGTGGTTTTGAAGTGACAGACATTTCATGAATAATGGTGACTGTGTTTCCTTCTTTAGGTCAACATTCATTTGTAGGAAACAACCAGTATGTTATAGTATAAAAAAAGTTTTATTGAACTGATTAATTATAATAATTTATCCTGGAGATGGGAAGTACAGTGCCTGCACTCTGAAGGAGGGTTGTTAATGTTGCAGTTTAAAAACTGTAGTGTAAAACACCCTTCTGGCAAGACAGTGATGGAGTGAATGATGGTGAAAGTTTTTCTTTTTCGGGCCACCCTGCCTTGGTGGGAATCGGCCAGTGTGATAATAAAATAATTAAAAATACTTATTAGACTGCATTGTACATTGCAGAGAACCAGACGCTAATAATCAGCTCTTGCGGTCAAGAGGAATGAAGAAGATGCAAGACAAGAAGCCCAAGAGTCTGCTCGGAGAGCAAGACAAGAGGCACGAGAGGAGCGGTTGGCTGCTGTGCGACTAAGAGAGAAGTGCTTGCAATTACAGGTACATACCTTGTGGGTTTAGCACTCTAGTTTTGATTGTAATAATATTACAAGTACTAAATGTTGTATACAAGTTATTAAAACATTTGTAATATTGTTTAAATTTTTTAGGATGGAATTTGCTTTGATTCATTCATAATATTACTGAAGGGGTTTGGAGAGACCTATTTGCTGAACTATGAGTTCTGGAGGTGGGAAGTGCAGTACCTGTACTCTGAAGGATGGTGTGGGGGTTGGAGGGTGACATTCTGCATTTAAGATAACCATTTGAACTGTGATGTCTGTAATAGAAATAACTAGATGAACAGTATTTTATCAGTATTTTCTCTATATATTAAAGACTGGGTGTAATTTTAACTAAAATAAAGCTGCTTGTATGTATAAGCTCCTCTAGGAAGGAGTCTTGATGCAAGCAAGTGGCTCTTGATCCAAGAAACTGGACCTATGTTACCCTTCCTTGGATCAGGCTTGATCATTTATTATCAAGGTGTTACAGTACCCCTACAAAGAATAGTAGCTTCATAAATACAGTAAGGGAATAAATAAAATAGTCAAAGAGAAGCAATAACAACCAAACATTAAGGTAAATGATTGACTATTGACTCCATGAGGAAAGTGGCAAAGAACCCTTCCTCAGTAAACTGTGTGTGTCATAAGAGGTGACTAAAATGCCAGGAGCAAGAGGCTAGTAACCCCTTCTGTATAAATTACTAAATTTAAAAAGAAAATTTTTCTTTCTTCTTGTTTTGGGTAACCCTGCCTTGGTGGGAGATAGCTAATGTGTAAAATAAAAAAAGAAAGACCATTGCATTTAGTTATGGCTTCTAAAGATAGGTGATTTAGTGTACAGTATCAATATTAATCATTCTTAATCTCTCGAGCACTTTATTACCATGTGCAGTCTGACATTTTCTTTTCTAACACATTGGCCATTACCCACCTAATTAAATATCACATTAGAGTTAGAATTTTTTTTTCTTTTACAGACAAAACTGGATTCGTTACAATTCACCCTCAACCAGGAGCGCGATGAGAGACGGCTGAGTGAGACAGTGCATGGAATTAAGGTTTGGCTTCAAACTTTTAACACTAAGAAAAACATGGTATGGGTGGGGTTAGAACTGATGGCAAGCGAGTTGTAAAACTCCGGGCCCGGGGTTAACCCAAAGGCCGGGCTACAATGAGAACAAA